AAAGACCTTTTGATGTATGATAATTCCGATGAAAAGAGTTATAAAATCTTTATTGAAAAGATATAAGTGATGCAAATAAAATAGATGTATAGAATTGCTTAATTTATCAAATCTCTCAACTTGCTCAATTCTTTTCTCTCACTAAGATGCAGGCCGCGAGAGAGCAAGCAGATGTTAATGAAAATGCAAAAATCAATAACCAGGCATACAAGAAGGATATGAAGCTTCAATGAGCAATTCTTCATAAATAAAAACAGATAAAACTTATGAAGTGAAAGGAATAATGTAAGAAGAAATGTTTAGAAACTACTCAACATTGCAAGGAGATCAAAGCTGCAGCTGCAGCTAAACATCTTATAAAGAAGCAACAGCAAGATGAACAGAAACTTCAACTGCAAAAAGAGAAGGAAGAATGTGCTGTTAAATGTTATGAAGCAGAGTTGATAAAGTAAACACTCACAAAGGCTTCAAAGAGGTCTATAAAAAGATCAACAGTGGACTCAAAACACTGTAGAAGCTCTATACAACCTTCTAAAAGCAGTAATAAATGCCACATACAGACTCCTCCAGTGGAATCAAATGATATTTCTTCTCTGACATCTTCTCCACTGCAATCTGATTCAACTGTTTCAAAACCACGAGTTTCATGTTCTGAGTGGATAATTAGGCCAAGCAATCATTCTCTGAATTAATCATATATATTTATATGATGTATTCTACATATAGTTTTAATCTTTAATAAATAATATTAATATCTTATTGCATTGTTGTGCTACAGTTGAAAATTAACGGCTCTATAGAGTGCTTTTTTTAGAGTTCATTGGGTGGATGAGTTCGTTGGGTGGTTGAGTCACGTTACTAGCGCGCGGGTCATGTGGAATACTGATAATTCTTATTCTTAGCAGCCCCGATTCCTATCTACTCCTTACCATGCCTCAACTTGTCATCTGAGCGTTAGTGAAAAAGAATAAAAATAAAAAATAAAAAATAAAAAACAAAAATACAATCACGATGGCAGAGTTGTCGGAAACGACCGCGCGACCCGGGGAGACCGCGGCGTCTCCAGCAAAGCAAGCACCTCCAGAGAAAACCGAGTCCGAGTCGAAAAGCAACACAGGCAGCTCCACCAACAGCCCGCTACCGAAAACGAGATGGCAGTGTTTGGCACCCAAGAGGGCTCTTGGAAAATCAGATGTGATGATTCGGCGGTTAGACCGGTAAGTTTTCTTTTACTACTGCGAGGTCTATCGACTAGTTCTTCTCCCGGAAAGGGGGGGGAGAAGGGGGGAGAACAGGGTACATGTCTACAGAACAAGCGAAAATTAATTCTTTTTCTATATATCACATATAAAAGGTTCATCTCCACCGCATCCGGCCAAGAACGGCTCCTCGCAATGATCCAATATAACTCGGAAATCCTGTACTACCTCCTCCGCTCGCCACCACTCCGCTCCATCATCACGCGCTTGCGCTTGCGCTCCATCCTCCTCCGCTCATCATCGCCATCATCACCACCATCATCATCACCGTCACCACCACAACCAAAACAACCACGCCTCCTCGCCCTCTCCGCCCTGATTTCCGAAACGCGCACAACGATCCGCCTCCTTGGCCTCCTCTCGCTCTGGTCCTGGGGCTCGGAAACCCTGGCGGCACCGCCCGCGGACCCTGTGCTCCGCACGATCGCGTACGCGCAGATAGGCGCTAACGTGGTGTATCAGGGGCTGGAGAACGTGGCACACCTGGCGGCGAAGGGGGTGGTGGGCCGGCGGGCGGTGGAGCGGTGGGGGTCTGTGGGCAGGTGGTATGCGTGGAGCACACGGGCGTGGTTGGGGCATATGTTGTTAGAGTTTGTGAGGGTGTGGAGGGAGTATGTGTTGGCGGGCCGGGAGGGGAGGGGGGAGATGGGCATAGGTATGGGCATGGGGGACAGAGAAGGGGGAGGGGATGGAGGAAGTGAACTGGAACTGGAATTGGAACGTCAGAGGGAACGGCAGAGGGAGAGGGAAAGGAGGTGGAAGAAGAGTCTTGTGAATAGCCTGGCTTGGTTGCCTCTGTGTGTGCATTGGAGCTTTGAGGATGGGGTGGGAGTGCCGGACAGAATGGTTGGGGCATTGAGCATGGCCGCCAGTGTGTGGGGGGTGTATGACATGTGGAACGCAACGGCTGGGATGGTTTGAGTCGTGTTTCATGCGCTGTCGTGGGGAGGTTCGAGACCGCCAGGACTGTGGGCGCTGAGCCTCCATATTGGTAGGGAGCTCTTGGCGCTGGTAAGCATTCTTGGGAACGTAAAACGATGCAGCAGCACAGGTGCATGCATACACATGTACTGTACGGAGTACATGCACTCCCTTTACCTCATGAATCCCGATCCATTTATGGCTCCCGCCTTGCTATGTTGAGCCGTTCACTCATCCTCATCAATCTGCTTCCTGCACTCTCCGGGATTGTAAAATCTCCACTCCCCGCTTTTAGCGAGCCGTGCTAAGGAGCAGGCCAGCGGTGATTATGAAACCCTCCGTTGGTCGATGACGTAAGCCAAGCTCGGCCGACAACAGAGATGCCCACGAGCCCACGAAAGGAAAAGAAGGCACTCACTTTGATGGGCTCCCCAACTTTTGATACTGTTAGTATCTTTCACCAGCGCCTCCCCCACTAATAGCTCAGGGTGGTAAATTGGATACCATGTAGAAAATCGGAAGTTCATTGGCTGCATGTTCTGCATGTTCTCCAGGTTCGTGTGACTACGTTCCGCATGTTATCAAGCAAGCACTTGAGGCCAGTGGCACTCGACTTCCTTGTTCAATGTCTCGTCGAAAACGCTGTCCCACTGCCAGAATACTTGTATGTATGAGAGAATTGGTTGATTCATCCAGAAAAGCCAAATGATTGGTATGAATCCATTTGTCGAGTCAATTTCTCTCTGCTGGTTTTGTCTGTGTGGTTCGTGCTCGGAAGCTGGTGGATGCTTGTGCTGTATTTCGCCATTCTAACATCTATTACACTGAAATATTCTTATTATACATCTTATGCCCACACTGCCTGGCCTCTTAATTTTTCCTGAGAGTCCCTATTCTCTCAGTTAAGAGATGGAACGGTAATACGTAATGCCGGTATCAATATTTCAGTTTAAATTTTTAGTGAGAATCAAAACTTTTCACATGTGCCGAATCATTTGGGGGGAAAAAAAAGAAGACGAATAATCCACCTCCACCACCCACTGCCAGTTTCAGTTAAGAATGGACACCTTAACAAGCTGGAGTTTTTAATAAGACGTATTGGTATTAATAGCATGGTTTCCAATGATTCGAATGAGCAAAATAAAATATCTCTTGTTTCATCAAATAATCAGAGAGAACTCGGAGCTTCTCCCAACTCTCGAGAAGTCGAAAAGGAGCAACGTAGGGCAAACAGAGCTGGAGGCCAAAGTTTCCTGTGAACTCGGC